CCCCAAAACCCCAAAACCCCGTAATGACTTATAATAGCTAAGATTACTTTTAATTAGGTAATCAGGATAATTATCTATACAATATTTATCTATAAATATCAACAATAGCGGAGGTATTCAAAATTTAACACTTGGCCTTCTTTTATTCCCTAAACCATTTTTATTTTTACTTCCACCTAGATTAATGCCTATATTAGTAATCTCAATTGAATCTCTATAGTTATTATCCTCATTTTCCAATTCCTAATCTGAGGGTAGATTTAAATTGCCAACAGCTTTATTCTTATTTTTCCTAGTGCTGTTTCTGAACAATCTTTACTACTCAAAGGATTTGGACTCTCGAGTGAACATTTTCTTATCAGTGTCTTCATGATAGTCTTTGCCGTTTTTAGCTTGCTCCATCTCAACATATGTAGGGTCAAGTTGTAGAGTTTACTGTTGTCTGATTGCTTTAGGATGGCTGAGATTTATATCTGGATTTTAGAGTTAGAGCTAAGCTCTTCTGAGAGCTAGCTAATTAAGACCTACTTATTTATTATCAAAGTTATGCAGATTGTTATAACTGTGCCTAATGTTATCTTTACAATGTTGCTCTAAATTATGACTAAAGAGTTGGATTTCATTATTTATACGAGAGAGATTTTTAACTATAGAGATCGAAGAGGTGACTTGGTCTTTGTCAAGTTGTCTGTACGGCTTAGTAACTAGATTGTACTCATGCATCGACTATTTACTCTAGTCCTGCTGCGCTCTGTTTATCAACTGATTTTTAATCTTCAAGGAAACATTGGAGGGTAGATTAACAAAAGATTCATTCTTACTGCTGTAAAACATCTGTATCTCACTCTCAGAGTTATCATATTCACTGTGCTATTTTCGCTTGCCCTTTTCTTTAAAAGTCGTAGTAGATCTCTAGAGCATCAAGCTGTTGTTACCCAGTAGATGCTACTTCCTTTTAGCATCAATATTCATACTCTGATAATTCCCGACAGCTGAGAAAGGCCTATCAATTTTCTTCACAGAGCTCTTTCTGATGAGAACTCGAGGACTCTGATTGGCGCTTCGGTTGTTGCGATTCAGACTGGCTTGATTTTTATTTTGATGAGCCTTGAAACCCTGATTAAGGCTATTAGTGCTGCTGTCTCTTTTAAGGTTTGAAAGTGGGATATTATGCTCCTGTTCTTTCTTAATCATAAACTTGTTCAGATTAGTCAGGTTATTCTTGATTTTGTTAATAAACCCAGAGTACTAGGATAAGTTTTACTTTGTAATTTTGAACAAATCCCCAATCTCTTAAACATCATTATGCTCCTTCAACGCCTCAAATCTTTTCTAAGTCTCCATGATGTCCTTCAACAACTCAGGATAGGTTAAATCTTCATTCATTTTTTCATCCTCTTCCTTCGTTCCTATTAACTGTATCAATGGATTCTATTGAATTATAGAGTCATTAAGAGAAGCAAGACTCTAAGCTGCCTAGATATGAGACATTTGCTTATTTGTTACAGCCTTCAAGATATTCTTAGTTGAAAACCTTGACTATAGCTACTTCTCAGTGATACTATAACTTCTGTTGTTTACATTTGTGATGAAAGGAGAGGAATCCTAGTGCTAAGTTATCGTGTCATTGATGCTAGACTGATTCAAGCTGTATTAAGGTCATCCTGACTTAATTGATCTCTGTCTTGAAAACCTCTGCTATAGCTGTATTTGTTTCTAAGACTCAATTTGCTTATGATAACCATCGATCTGCTTGACGATGCTATGTAGGCGTTCATTTCTCAGTTTGCGATTATCTCTTTTGCATTTATCCTCGTAAGCATCAAGATCATAATCATCATGCTAGATTATCTAAATACTCACATCATCGAAGAAGCTGTCTACTGCACCTTGCTAAATTGACTGCAGATGCTGATTTTAGTTCACAGAGGTGTCGTGTTCTGTTAATAACTTTTCTTAAGAGACTCTGGGTCTCTATATACTTTGAATCGTAGACGTGTAAGGTGCTGTTTCCTAATTCCAATTCCCATGTGATATCATTGACAACTACTTTGATATGTAACTAGTTTTTTTCTACAGTTTAGTTTAATTATAAGCTTGACTCTTGATCTACATACTATTATTTTTATTCTGGCTTTGGTGCAATGCAGATGACTGTGGCCTTCTAGGCACCTATCTGTGTTGCTTTCCCTTTCCATATCTATTATTTTGACTTCGTTCCTATTACTGCTGCTACATTAGTGAAGTACTTTAAGCCTAATACATCTTCATTGGGGAGTTTTTCTTAGACTTATTGCTAAACAGTTTTTCCTTAATAATCGTATTGAAATCCTAACTACTTTTCCTCAATCTATAGTCAAAGCTACTCTCTTAAGCAAGATTGACGCTCTAATTAATGTCATTAGTATAAGATTAGGCTGGAGGCTAATGCTGCAAATGGGGCTTGCTGAAATTTAAACTTATCTGAGATGAATTAGAATTTAAGAGGTCCATTAAAACGAAATGATTTATAATTTGTAATGAAGTGAGAGTTTTTGTATTAACTAGAATTTCTAATGACATTAAAATTGCATCATGAATGGAATGGTGGGGTTTTGGGGTTTTGGGGTTTTGGGGTTTTGGGG